TTGAACGCTTGTGCACTGTGTTCTTTCCCCTGAAGTTAATATAAATCCTAAAATGTATACCTTCGCGACAAATGAACTTTCTTTTTAAGGTTATTTGATGAGAGTAAATATCGTCCTGACCCGGACCCGGCTTTGATTATTATCTAATTCTACCTCTACTGAGTCATTCGATGAACTGCTTTCTCTAATTGGTTCTTAACAATATTACTCCCAGTTTATTCAAACATTTTAACTCAAGTTACTACACTGTTTGATTTCCAATTATAGCAAACATTCTTGTGTACTTCAGTTAAGGAATATGAATTTAAGAAGTTATTTTCCTTCTTATCTAACAGTGTCGTTTTACGTGCTTTGCTTTCAAGATTAATTCGTACTATCGTCACCGATGGATCAACTGATGTAATTGGAGATAAATTGAAGCAGAAAGGATGAAAATAGTGGAATCGTGTCATGTGCTTGAACGCCCGTTCTGGTCAGGCCTATCACAAAGTCTATCCGTTGGGAGAAGGCAAATGTTCATTTTCAGTATTTAGTGTCAGATCTGTGGAAGTTGGTGAATGGGAATATATATGGGTTGTCTTTGTACCGTAGTTACTCGTGAGTAGTTAAATGCATTCGCCGAACAATTTGATATGTTGACCTCATAAAGGAACCGTCATATTCTCCGTCTATGGGAAAATGCAAACTTGAAAACCCCAGTTAAATCCTTATAATTTCGGACGATATTGTTCAGAGGGTTACTATGGAGCGCAATTCACGTGGTCTGAGTTCTCGATAAAAAAATATACTGAAAATTGAAAATCAAATTAGAAGTGATCCCGATTTAAATCTGCCCGCACACAAACATGCTCACACAACAACACCGATCCCTCAGCACTGGGTCACACCATCGTCGTGACATAACTGAAAACCCCGGAAGCACAAATCTGAGAATGTGGTGGGCAGCACATACACGGACAGGCACACCCAAATTTGGAATTTCGCTTACGAAGTCAGTAATAGGCAAGGCGGAATCCTCCTGTTTACCTTTCAATTTCCACATTTATTTTTGTGCACTGCAATCAAGTTATCGGTTCATCCAACCGCAGCAAGCTTTACTTTGAATTTTATGAATTAAATGAATCCTATATTTTCTTGCTCGGTAACCTTCAAACTCAAAATCATTATGCCTCCTTCAACTAACGCAATAATCATTACAAATTCTTGAAGTAAATTATAAATTTAATTATTCACATGGCAAGTATCATCGGGAAATGTTTTTTTTATAGCAAATCGGTTTGTTATTATTTCGGGCATCTCCTAAATTGTGAGATGTCAAACAAAATGTAATGAATTAGTTGCAGACTGGATGCGTTTTTCCTATTCTCGTTTTCATTTAATTGTTTGGAAGAGCATGAGAAGGTGACTATTGACCATTAATTATTTGTAGTTGCACACACGCACACACTCGCGGATAGCAGAGTGTTTTTAGAATTTTACTTGTGTAGATTCAGTTGTTGCAAGCTCAGTTCCATCACGTGATCGATTCAAGACTTGCGCTTCTTGACCCAAGCATCATTGCCAGATTCTCCAAGCACATTATTTGCGTGAGGTACAGAATTAACAGATTTTAATCTCAGCATATCCTGACGAGAGCGAGTATGTGTCCGAAACCTGTTTGACTTCGAGATAACAATAGATCCAGTGAGACGACGAGCACACGAAATGTAGCGGAACTATATCGAAGGGCGCGCGATTAATGTAATCCAGAATCGAATAGCTTTCAAATCAGTCTGACCTTAATTTTAACACATCCAAGTGCTTGGAGTGCATTTATAGTTCTTCCCGCTCTACATTCCCTGTAAACCTCAATAGTAAACTTCTGTCTAGAGTGACCTCAGCCATGTATCTCTGTGTTAATATTAATAATAATCTTCGGGTGGTCGACACGTTCAGAACTGTATGGGAAAATTTCGGCGCCTCTCCTTTCAGCTGCGAAAGCTCAGACAACTTTGCACTCCCCAACAAATTTTGTTCTCTTTTGTTAAACAATGTGTTCTCCCTATTTTACTTTCCTTCTCCTTTGTAGTGTTTTACGGTCTATTGAAACAAGACTTTAAATATGTCCGTCGTGGATTGATGATAATAAGCAGTGCCTCCTCCATTTCTGAGTCAATAATCACAGAACTTATTAATGGTCAAATGAAGTTTTGTGGGACCTTTGTCAATAAGATTCTAAACGACCCCTCCCATCTTTTGCATTTTGACATATCTTCTCGTCACTCCCATTCGATCACACGTTCCTCATATCGGCGGTACCTACCCTCCCGAATAAACATTTATAAAAACTTCACTGTACCGTATCTGGCTCGCATCTTGATCAACAAGGAACGAGTTCTAAATGAATTACGTCAATTTTAAATTGAATGGACCAATCTTTGGAGACTTTTTTACACAGCACTCTATTGAATTTGTCCATACTTCTATAGTTCCTCCGGTGTGACGACCAGTGCACAATTTTTACCTGAAATGTAAGAATATATCAGCTTGCAAAAGTTATACAAATACAAAGGACGCGACATCTGTGGATTCACGCTGAAAAATATAACAACCTGATTCATCTCGTTCACTTTTGAACATGTCCTTTGATCACAAAAAGCACAGTTCCGGCTTCCGATTCAAATATTTCACGTCTGCGTTGAGCAGAGTTTCTAATTTCTTGCGCAACTGGTAGGTGCCTAGAGATTATTCTAACATTGTCTCTGCTCAGGCTTTCGGCAATCATAACCACTCAAAATCGACCACTAAAATGATTCAAATCCATATAACCTGCATCTTGTTTATTTAGCTAAACATATTGGAATGGTGTGAACCGGATCAGTACTTCGTTTAAGGCAATTATGAGCGTTCATTCCACAGTTATTATAACAATGAGAACAAACGATAGATAGTGCAAAGGGATGTTTGGTAACTTTGAAGATTCTAAGTTCAGTAACCTCGGTTGGATTCGAACTCACACAGTGCTATCGGGGCGGCCTCGTAGCTCAGCTGGTAGAACATGCGCGTACTAAGCGTTGGCGGCGGCCATGCGTGGGTTCGAGTCCCACGGAGGTTACTGAACTTTTCGCAATCTCCATGGAAATGATAGATTGACATAGGATTGCATTTAATGGGTCACTGGCGAATCATGTACTTTATGATAAAAATACCAGCTGTATCTGTGATCCCGATCGATTTCGTAGAATATCTTTTATTGCTAAGTGACTGCATTACATGTAAAGGCTATGCGAATAGAGTGAACGCCTTGAAAAACGATGCGCAAATGGATTGCATACACGGGTTACAATGATATGTACGTCAGCAAGCCAGTTAATGACCAATGAGGAAACTGGTTAAAACTACAGTTATTGTATCAAATACAACAAATCGGTGGTTTGCGATGCGCTAATATATCTAATAAAAAATTAATAGGTGGCGTACCGCCTATGGGCTTTTGTAGTGCCGCCAGTAGAACCTCAGAGGTCCGCACGTGTTTAACATATAGATTTCCACGTCCATGCCCTGTTTGATATCAAAATCTGTGAATCGACATTTGAACCGCAGTCACTCGTAAGCAGTGAGATCTATTCCTCTCAATGAAAGCAATATCCTGCTCACCAAGAGCTTTGTCAGAGAAGATAATTTGGATAACATGAATATTCGCTCAGTTCTGTTTTTTCAAATCTTAACGTATACATTTCGTAATGGTGATTGTAATGTAACGTCCCCAATATCACTTATTCCTGCAATTCTTATTGTTGCATTCAGACTATGCGAGGCACATGTCACCATTTATTGTGTACATTTCTGCGTCTAAACACAAACTCACACCATTGACATATAGGTTAGTCCCACACACCCTTTCCATAATGGACACAGTGGGTTGGACAGTTGCGATGATCAATATTCATGTGGCTTACAGACATCATATTTGTGTTTAACCATTACTGTGTGCTTTATTTCTTATGGACTTCACTTTACACAGAATAATCGATTTGACTGGAGATCTTAGCAACAAGATTGCAATCTATTCCCGCAGATGATCCAGTCATCCAAGAGCCATCTTATAAAAAGATGCTAAATCGCATCCTAAATAGTAAACTCTCCAATGCGTCCTCTGTGGTAGTCCCTCGGTGCTGCCCACTGGCATTTTGCTCAACTGTATTATATTCCTACATCCGCGGCCAAGCAAATTCCGAATGAATTAACGTTTGAAACCACACACAGCGGTTTTAGACAATTGTCGATGTTTTGATAGATCACAAATAACTCACGAAATGTCTTACTGCATTGGTTCAATAAATGACTTTGGAAACGGCTTGTCTAAAGCACTCAGTGTACATGGCGGCTAACTGTGAACCACTTTTTTCTATTCGGGCAAACCGCATGTGTATTTCAGAGATTAACTCAAGCGCATCGTCTTATTAGAGTGACTTGAGCACGGTTGATCTTTTCTTCCGCGTGTGATCGAACCTGACCGATCAACCTTTCAACGGACAGAACGAACATTGACCGTCTCATTGCCTTTTTGATCTGTTTGTTTGCCTTGAAAATTGTTGTTGTCAATTTGTAGGCAACTCGTTTTAGTTCAATGACCCGAAATAAAGTTGATGGACGATAACCGGAACAATAATGCCTGAATAGGGTACTTTTGCGAAACAGAAAAGAATAACAACTTGGATTTATTAAATTTGTTCAGCTCGTGACAATCCTCAGTGAGTGGCAGGTTCATCTGCAAAGAGAACGTGACAACAAACTTATCAGCATGACCATTCCTGAAAACAACAGTTGTTTTGTATGTTAAGTTTGAAGAATTACTTACCTCCCACTCACATGCGCACGTTGGATTCAATTCTATTCTAGGCACAGATGCAAAGCCTGCAAGAAACAAAATGGTGAGCAGACACTCGGCTATAGCATCGCAATGAACACACAACAAGTACTTGGATCGATCTAGCATTCAAAAGTAGTTCGACACTCACTTGACAGAAGAGCAGTGGATTCAAATTCTTCCCCATATTGATCAACCATGCATTGAAATATCTATCGATGAATTGATTGCACTGTTCAGAAGTAAAATGATGAGAGACAGATAGCATTTATTCAAATCGAGTTGGCTGTAATGTGCAGTGCATATCGTGTTGTATACGATCGACCAGCATGAACCAGTTACTCACCCCGTCACGGAGTTCGGAGAAGTCGAGAATCTGACACCAGCGTTTCAACTGTGCTTCAATTGCCGTTCGTGAGGATGGGTCGTCGAATTGTGCCTTCAACAGTGTCATCACGGTCTCACAGGTCGAACAGGCTACGATCGGTACGGTGCACGTGTGGAAGAACAGGACAATGGAGGGAATTTAAAAACTCTTCCGAGTTCAGAGCGTCTGTGTTTCTGCATGTGTGTGTGTGTGTGTTTACGTTCGTGTAAGGCGAAATGGTATTTGGTTTTAACAAGTGGCTTATTGTACAAGAAGTTCAACTCACTCAAATCATTCGGCTGAAACAGAGCGTATAGGAGTAATTGGTTAGGCTCAACGCAATCCGAAATTCTCCATTGTTCTCGTATAATTATCAGTTAGAACGTGAGAAAATAAAAGAGAGTGATAATGTAATGATACACTGGAAATTGTGTGACATATTTTCGAATGCAAAAGTTATACGCATTTTTTGTTCATTACAGTTTGACTCCGCTCTGGATCGGCGAGAGTGACAGCAAGTATTGTGTAAAAGCAGATCGCGAGAGCCCACATTTTCTATTTCTAACGCAATAAGCCGTGTTCGAAATCTTCGTTTCAAGGAACCCGTAGATTGCAAAGATGATAGTGCATGTGCAGGATCATCCGGAACTGTGCATTGCGGATATCGCGGTTGTTTCATCCAGATGTGGAGAACGGTACAATGATCAAAGTCTAACGTAGTGAGCTTACATTCACAACATTTGCATTCACGTTCACTATGTCGTCACGTATACAACACGGTGATGTGCGTATTTTAATTTTTTCAGATTTTGCTGGGAAAATATTCGGTTTTCAATCATAAAATTCATACTTGTAACTTTCGTCGGACTTTGTGTCGTTTTTCAACATCTCCTAAAGGTATGAGAAAATCCTTCAGACACTTCTAAGTTGCAAAATCTTTTTGAATACGATATATTATTATTTATTTGTAAATTTTGTATTCCTTGTTTATGATTTGAATGGTAGCAGTAAATTTTACAGTTTTGATAGTTTTACGAAATTGAGTCAATCCGAATACGGAAGTAAGGGATTATTTGGGACTCAATATTTATGTAATTTATTGTTCATGTATAAGTCCTATACCCGCCTTCTCATACCCTCTCTCTCAACTGTCATGATTTTCCACCTACACAATGATACTCACAACGATCAACCAAAATTATTGGACTTGCGAATCGTTGGTAATGCTTGAGATCATTGCAATAAAGTGTTACAGTTTTTGGTCGAATAAAAATAACAATCGGGGTATTTACAACGATAGAAAACGATTGTCCGACTACAACTGAAATAGGAAGACATGATCCGACAACGGTCAGTCTGACATATACTAGTTAACAAATATGATGGGTCTTTAGGTCTCAGTTTAACGTAAAATGACAGCAATTGCATAAGATAAGGTTTTTAGGAACACTAAACCAATAAGAAAGAAACATATTGCTTTGAAAGCATAAGCGCAATAATTAGTCTTCTATTTAGTGGTCTTAGTCACTATACCTGTAGAGATTTCCCTACCAGTTCTATCAAATTTTCGAAAGACTGTAAATAATGATGAGTGGCTTGTTAGCCATGGAGCCTCCTTGCCAATCAGCCTTCTCCCTTGTTCAACCACCATAGAGGAAACAGCCCAATTAGGAATGTTAGCATAAGTAGTCAGATTGGTCTTGAACGTGTATTGTGAAAACTTAAAAACAGAAACATCGTGATTGCTCGGTAGAATCCTGCCTGAAGTGATGTTTGTGTTGTATTATTGTATTATAGATGACTTTTACAGGCAACTGTGCCTACATTTCAGTCAAAAATGTGTTCACCATTACAATGGAATAAAAAGAGATGAAACTTAAATAGGTGTTCATCATTGTAGGTTTAAAATTAGTTCGCTACGGATCCTCACCGTCTCAGTGAGAATACCAGCCAGATAGGGAATCGCTGAGTTGCGATAAGTGTTTATGTGTGAGGGTAAGCAGTGAGAATTGGATCGGGTTGTAGTGTGGGAATGGCAAGCAGGCAAATCGGAATTGAGTTAATGACTGGGGTCATTGAGTACTTTATGAGCTAAATTCTCACATGAAGTGATATGCGAATGATACAATTCTGTGATCAGAATGTTTAAAGGAATAAGAGAAACAACTGATAATTACTAAACCGGAATGATTCGAAAATGATAAGCTGTCGGAAAATGGTTCTGTCCCACCGATTTTGAATGGCTCGACATAAGGCTACAGTATCGGCATACTTGAAGGTTTTGGCTGGTGAGAATGAGGGTAAGTCACCAATGAAAGTTGAAAATAAGTATGGAGAGTGCACAGCACCCTGAAGGACTCCAGAATTGTCCACTAACGGCTCTCAATTAGTGTCATTTGCTTTTTTGCTTTGAATCCTTCCTGTGAAATATTCTCCCCATCATGACAATAATTTGGTGGAGCAATCGAATGATTGTAACTTTTGACGAAGTAGAGATCGCGGTACGGAGTGTAAAGCGGAAAAATAGTCAAGGAAAACACAAGGAACTGACTTTTGAGAATCATCTAAAGATTTGCAAATTAAGTGCATCATTGAAGAGATGGCATCCAAAATGCATCTATGTGGCTTGTTCGCAAACTGGAGGGGGTCATTGGGAACAATAATACTAAACTGCAAGCGGGTGAGAATAGTGCGCTTTGCAAGTTTAAGTCCAGAGGAGGTGATGGCGACAGGAAGAAAGCGTTTATATGAGATGCTAGATGAAGAGGGTTTAGGAATGGGAACAATGTTGAACGGTCTCCAGGAATCCGGAATTGAACATGTGCAAATGGATTGGTTATTGAGAGATGCAAACATCTTTGCGATTGAGCTAGAGCCATATTTCACCGATGACGAATATAGACCATTGGGGCCAATAGCGTTCGTGATTTTCGTAGTTTTAATAACATGATAGATCTCGTCGTGGGTGACTGAGCACATGGCAGATAAATGACCTATGGGGTACGGAAACGAGGGTTCTGTAATGGCTATGGCAGTAGTAGTACGCACGGAATTCGGAATGCAAGCCACGCGATAGGAATCACCGGACACGATTCAAGGATTAGCTGTCGCAGACTGGATTACGGAAGTACTGGATGGCAATGGCACGAGTTCGTAATATCGTAGGCGAACGAGACACGAGGAAATAGCCACAGGAATAGTAGTAGTAGTAGTAGTAGTAGTAGTAGTAGTAGTAGTAGTAGTAGTAGTAGTACGTAGTTAGTTTATTGGAAGAAATGAAAGCGACTAAATATGCGTACAAAAGAAAATTATTGGTTATCTGGGTTTCCACCAATTAAATTGCAATACTGCTTGCATAATTCTGTTTCTATCTGCATTGCCTCGAATTGGCTGGCATGATACATCTATGGTATGTAGTCGGAAGCCATGCGCGTGTCATTGAGGTCACCTTTCAAATTTGATTGATCACAAATGTCCAGAAACTGTAACGAGCCGCTCCAGGGTAGGTGGCATCACGAAGGCCTAGGTCATCACAAATCTCATCCTTCAAGAGAACTTCGTCAAATTGGCTTGCTCTTTTGATGGGTCATCGGAGTGCCAGTGGGGTATTTTCTTCGGTAGGCATTCCCAGAATGGAGGCTACTGCCTTTGATCTTCTTTAGTTGTTGACGGCGTGTCACATAGCGGGTTTGCTTGGGTTTCTCCGAACTCCTTGACGGGGTAAGTAACTAGTTCATGTTGGTTGATCGCATCCAACACGATGTGAACTACGCATTACAACCAACTCGATCGGCCCGAGATTTTTGATGACATGATGAAGTGGGCAAAACTTAATTCTAATTCTTTCGAATTTATGTTTGACTGGAAGAGCTGAGAAATAAACGTGAAGGCTACCTTTGATCTTCTGTAGTTGTT